TCCATACTAGCTGAGACGTGGTACTAGGTTCAGTTCTACTCCAAATTCTTCGTTATAGCTTTCCCCTTAAATTATTGTGGTCTAGCCCACAAACTCCTAGTCTTGAGGATGGGGTGGGTGAGTTCGCACAATATGATAGGAAAAACAAAATTCATTGGGTGAATGTGGTCCTAAAAGTCGATTTTCATTGTCATGAACCCGGATAAACAGAACTGAGGTAAGATGAACTTCTCGAAATCAAGCAGTGCCGTCCATAAAATGTGGTTCGAGTTAGACTTCGAGTAGCATTTTCGAGAAGGGTGTCGGATGGAATCAACAACCCGAACCTTATATCTACATTGGTGTTCGCTAACAGTCCAGAGCGTGCTTGAAGGCACCTAAGGCCACTCACCTGGAATCGAACGAGTTCCAACACCCCCATCCACATGAGATCCAAACAAATCCAAGCTTTGCATTACCGCGAATTCCCTACTAGCCGGTCTGTCAGGCAAAATGACGACACGTTCCAGATCATCCACACGTCAGAAGAATCGAACGAGTTCCAACACCCCCATCCACATGAGATTCACCCAAATCCAAGCTTTGCATTACCGCGAATTCCCTACTAGCCGGTCTGTCAGGCAAAATGACGACACGTTCCAGATCATCCATTTCCACGTCAGAATTCTCGGCTTGCGTTTCAGTAGCTGAATCGGTACGGTTTGCGTGAGTAGTTGGCCCTTATAAAGGAAAACATACGATTGGAAGATGTGTATGGTCATGAGCTTGACAGATATATGAGGGGAAAACTTGGTTGGTGTCAGCAACGTTTTCAGAGTCCTACAAACCACGGTATTCGTTCAGATAGAACTGGGCGTTAACGTGGATTTCACTCTCATCTTGCCTTCGAACGTATCCAAAAAGTGAATGTGACGAACAATGCGCTCCGCAGTAAAGAATTTAGCTGCTACAGTCAGATAATTAATAAACTGACTCCTCGATTTCAAAATCTCTTACTGCCTTCAGCTGTCAAAAGTCGACTAAAATTGGTTGAAGCATATGTATCAAAAGACTTCTCCCATCTAACCTACGACTGAGTATTTCGGGTGGTTTTTTACTGCCCTACTTTGTGGTACCAAATACCATGAGCATGGTGTTGCGGTCCTCTTAGATGTCTTCTATTTCCTGCTACTCTCAAACACGTAGTAGTATGAAAAATTATTAGAGACTGCTTAGTGGAAGCCACATTACAGCTTCCGTTACGTGTGACCGACACATTTAGATGTGCAGATTACCGCAGTTCAACATGGAGTGGACAGTATTTGATGGCTTCCAGTCCAACACCAACTAGGCCGATTCAGCGTCATGGTTGGTGGAGTTAGTTGAATTAACATGGGGATTTTGGCCAACCAAAGGAAGCGTTTACAACCTGATGGGAACGACTTATCAAGATTTAATGCAACCACTATACTAGGCGCTGAACAAAAAAGACACTTCTCACGCTGGCAAAAAAGACAATCGCTCCTCTGCAGCGCGCGTAGCTAAACAGCTACTTTCCCCTTGGACTCGCAGTATCTCCCCAGTGAGCGAGCATGTAAGCCAATTTTGCGCACTTGCATTTCAGGCGAATAAACTTTGTCCAAACAAACTGGGGTGTTCAGACGTAACACGTCATTTATGCGGTGCTGAAATCCCTTCGTTCGCTCACAATCAAGTTCTTCCTCCTTGAGGCTTATCAGTGAAACGTGATGTAGCTTGGTGCAGCACATTTAGTTGAAAAGTCAGAGATTCATCAAGAGTTAATTGGATTTCTTTTACGCAAATGAGAGTATTTAACAAGAATGAGGTATTGTCGGTAAGAAATTCGAGTGACTGACAAGTTTATAGCATTCTCTAACCGGAATATTCTGCGTAAAAGCCACCTACACAGCTTATATTAGGTTGATAACACAAACGAGTAACACCACCTTAGCTTACAAACATGTGTTTACTCTACGCATATCCGATTCGTTGTATGGAATAAGCCTGATGTACGTTCGGGAACGAGTTTCAAGCAGGACCGTCTAGCAGTTTTGATCAGTCCTATAATTGAAAACTTTTTCTTTTACTTCATTCAGTGATCTGAGTTACTGGCTGTAGATGAAGCAACGGATGAACTCCGTATTGTTCAAAACACTGATGTTGATCGAACCTCCCATTACATCCAGCCAGATGTTCCTCTAGTCCTGGATGATCAGGTGGACGAGTTTGGCGCTATCATTTCAACCATTAGGGTGTGGACCCCAAACAGGGGCCATCACACTGGCTGTTGCAACCTGTACAAGTTGTTTCACAAATGACAACGTAACAAAAGAGAACTTCTCACAGGTGGGATACAAGTATCAGAAAACCGCAAATATATATA